AATTCCTCACGTGTTGTTGGTTCAAATTTCCGCTTATATATATTTTAATGTCAACCATTTATATATTTTGCATTCCTTTGCCTGTATTTTCTATACGAATAAACTACTACATACCACATACGCATAAGCATATTTGTATACATACATGTAAGCGTACATACACACACAAACATGCATACATACACACTCACATACACTTACATACATGCATACATACATACATACACACACATATATACATACATACATACAATCGAGAATACAACCAACCAGTTAGTTTTCAATTAGTTTATAAAGAGCTATTTCCGCGAAGTTCAACAGCGCTCCTCAATCAATTTTACAAACAGGTGGGTCTTGAGATCCGCTCTGAACTTCGTAAGTGATGGAGAAGTAGTTAGGGAAGGAGGTAGAGACTTTCAGAGAAAAGGCTCAGAAAAAGGTTGTGTAAAAGTGTTTAACACGAGTTTAGAAGAAGTGAGAACGAGTGGCAATAGACGATCGTAAACCGGGGCTCTTAGGTTAAACTGATAAGTACTTAGGAAATAATTTAGATTGAGATTTATACATTAATGGGCAAATTTTAAAAATTGTTCTTTATTTTATAGGTAGCCAGTGCAAGAGAATAAGATATGGAGATGTATGATAAAAGATAGGGGCACGAGCAACTAGACGAGTTATATGTGTAGAATCAGAAAGACTAACCTACGTATGCACAGACACGCACGTATCATACACACACACACTTATAAAGATATAAACATGATAGATTCACACAGACAAACAGACACACACACACACACACACACACACACATATATATATATATATATATATATATATTTAATTTATTTGTTTTCAATTTTATACGTGTTTCACTTGTACTGACGAAACAAAAGCTCAGTTTTTCACATTAACGTTATTTAATATATAATTAAATGAAGTTTGTATGCAATTTCTCTAAGTGCGTTCACATAATTAATTACATTACTTTTGCTTTTTCACAATTTTTGTTCGTTTTTCAAATGTCCGTTTTTCAGTAGAATGTTTTTAATATAGAAATGAATTGTTTGTTCAATAAAACAAAAAAACCTTTACACATGAACATGAAATACATTCGTGAATGTATGTATGTATGTATATATGCATGCATGCATGTTTGTATGTATGCACGTACGTATATATGTTAAAACCAAAACATGATGAGTATATATGTATGTATATATGTATGACACTGAACAGTCAAACGTCAAATAAATAATGGATTGACACTTTGATTCGTCGTTAGTTGCAAAAAGTATCATTCGAAGCTGGATATTTATCAATTTCATCTAGCTTTTCTTTTATTTATTTATTTATTCACAAAACCAGAGGGCTAAAAAGAAACCACTTATCCGGTAAGAAAAATGAAAAAAAAAATGTTGGAAAGATGAATCGTACGTCTATGAATTAAGTAAAAACATAGGATAATAACAGAGATCGATGCACAATGATCTTAATGAATAATGAAAAAGTTTATAGTCAAACATAGATAACTTCATAACTTAAAAAATGTACTACTGATATTATAATTGGTAAATGATATGACAGTTTTAGCCAACAGAGTTAGTTAGGCATATATGTAAATATTAAACGTAATTTAACAATAAATCACATTATAATTAAAAATCTATTTAAATCAATAGTGAGTAAATGATTTTTAAAGACAGCAAGTGAAGTTGAAGACACTACGTCTGCCGGCAATGCATTCCACACTCGGATAATCCGGATACAGTAGAAATATTTTGCTACGTTGTCTCCAGCGTTGAAATCTTGCAGTCGACATGGGTGACCGCGAGTTGACAGATAATGTGAAGGGATGAAAAAACCATTTAAATCTGTGTTGATGAGGTTGTGTAGTATTTTGTACAGCAAGCACAAATCAAGAACCAATCTACGCCGCTCAAGTGTTTGTAGTCCTACCGCTTGCAATCTAGACAAATATGGAAGATGACGAATTGACGGAATGAATTTGGTAAATCTTCTCTGAACATTTTCAATCTTGGTTATTTGATATTTGTAGTGCGGATTCCATAGCGGTGAGCAGTATTCAAGTAGAGGACGTACATAACTGCAAAAAGCCTTCACAAGTAGATCCTTATTCTTAGATGTGAAACATTTGACGATTAAGCGAGCGCGGGAAGAAGCCTTGTAAATGATGTTGTTGATATGCGCATGAAAATACTTAGCATACATGGAATTTGCTGTCCACTATCACACCAAGATCTCTGAAGTCATTTGTACAACTGAGAAGATGTTGATCTATATAATATTGACGTGGAACTAATGTTGATCTCGAAGATGGAAGAAATGAGCAATGACAGCATTTACTCGGAGAGAGTGGCAACTGCCATTTGATGCTCCAAGCTGTTATATCGTTGATGGCCTGTTGAAGTTGAACTGAGTTGGATGAACGGCTGTATAATTTAATATCGTCAGCGAATAGCAAACTTGAAACTGAAATAGATGAAATGCGTTCAACAATGTCGTTAATGAAGACAATGAATAGAGTTGGACCCAAGACACTGCCTTGGGGGACACCACTGGTAACCGATACTGAATTGGATAATTTGTTTTGAATTCTAACAAGCTGGGAACGTTGAGACAAGAAGTCCGACAGCCAGGCAAGCAGATCACCAGCTATTCCATAGGATCTCAATTTTCCGACCAGTTTCGAGTGTGACACAGAATCAAAAGCTTTTTGGAAATCGAGGTAAATGGTGTCACAGCTTTCTTTGTTCTGACGAAGTGATATCCAGTCGCTGTAAAATTGCATTAAGTTGGTGCAGGTTGATCTACCAGGTAGAAAACCATGTTGAAAATGCGTAATTAGTTTGTTTTCTAAAAGAAAGGATAATATTACTTTGTTTATAATCTTTTCCATTGCTCTACAACATGAACTCGTGAGTGAAATAGGTCGGTAGTTGCTGGGGTGGTTTGTGGGACCCTTTTTATGAATGGGAGTAACAATAGCAGATTTCCATTTAGTTGGTAGCTGGTTATTTCTAAATGATAGATCAAAAATATGACATAATGGAACTGATAGGTTAGATGCACACATCTTCGGGACAACATTCGGTATACCATCTGTTCCAGCTGAGGTTGAATTTTTTAAGTTACGCAGAGTTGTATAAACTGTATGGGGAGTGAAACAAATATCTTCTATAACAATTGGAGTTGTTATCATGTGTAAATACGGAAGAAAAATATTTGTTGAATGCATTGGCCATTATCAGCGGGTCATAGGTCACGCTATTGTCATCTAACTTTAAACTACTGACATTGGGACGCGATAGCATTTTTTTGTTGACATACTGGTAAAAACTTCTGACATTGCATTTAGAAAGCAGTTTATGTTCATTGACTATTCTGTAACTGTTTGCTAAGCCAGAACATTTTCGTGACATATTCAAATACTGCTCTTTATCATCCGGTGAAGAAGTTCGTTTCCATTTTTTCCAGTATTGAAGTTTTACTTTATAAGACTGACGAAGTTGATAAAGCACCTGTATTTTGTGTTCTTTGCTTCTCAGAAAAGATCGAGGGATGTAAGTTGCCATAAGATTGTTTATCAAACGCTCAAAAATGTCCCAACATGTGTTGACGTCGAAGCAGTGCTGAAAAATATTGTCCCAGTTGATTAGCCTCAGGCATTCATTCATATTAGTGAAGTCTGCACTGTTGTAATTATAAAAGGAAGTGTCGTTATCATTGTTAGAGAATTTGTCAGTTGAGTTATGAGTGATGCAGTTAACTTGAAAGGTAAGGCAGTTGTGATCACTGGAAGAAAATGGACAGGAAATCTCTAACTCGACAAGTAGGCTGGCATCATCAGATAGGATCAAATCTAAAATGTTATTTCCACGAGTTCGATTGAACGAGTTGAAAAGTTCGATAAAAGTATTGTAGATGACGTTATTTGGTGCAGAATAATTATTCCAATTAATTAGTGGGAGATTGAAATCACCTAACAAGCAAATCACATCTCCCTTGCTAAGTTCTTTGATGCACCTGGCACTATCAAACGCATATTCCTCTGCTGATTTATCAAAACCACCACTTCGATAGTACGAGATGAAGCGATAATTTTATATATATATATCTATTTGTAAGGAATAAACCTTCACCGCTGATGTTAAATCTCAAATAAATGATACTGTCTTTAAAAAGTTGCTTTTATTTTTCCATATTTTTAAGTCGTTGCTCCTACCAAAAGTAAAAACCATCATTTTGATTCCACATTTTATCGTCCTGTAAACAGATAAATAGAGTTTCAATTTCAGGCTTCCATATAAGATATCAAAGCTACCTATGGAAAAATCAATCCCAATCCTAAAAACCCAAAAAAATCGTCTGCGATATTTTCCAAAAGCTATCGCTCAATGCTCTACTGAGGTATTTAGATTAAAAAGAAACATAAAAATAAACTGCATTGAATTGAATGCCTAAAATTTAATTAATTAACAAAGTAATAAACAAACGTGAAAATTGAAAGTAAATTAAAAATTGATTTTGTTTAAAATTTTATTTTAAAACGGATCTACTTGGCTTAATAATTAAATATCCTAATTTTTCAATTGCTGGTTTTTATGGTCATGTTTTTATAAAATACTTATAAATTTTTATAATACTATAAAATGTATAGTATATTATATCCCTCCTATATATATATATATATATATATGGCTAATTTGAAATATTTTATAATTTTATTCAATTGTTAACGAAAAATTGACAGGCTAGTTTGTATAGTAGATGTGTGTTAAACAAACAGTCGATAAAGATGGGCGACTGCTCAGAAGCTTTCATTAATCTCAGCAATTGCTTCAAGAAAGCCGTTAGCAACTCTGCTCCAATTTTTTTTATAAAGACTGTTTTAAAATCAGCAAAAAAGAAAAATGATGGACAAATTTAGTTTCGTATTTCTAAAATTTCTTTCATTACCACTAAAAACTTTGATGTTCTTTACAGCAGTGTATTTATTTATTATTGCCTTGAAAAAATAAATAAAAATTTGCAGCTAAAAGAGATGAAGTGATGGATATTATGAAGACAAGAAAATAAAATTAAACATATAAAATAATAAAATAGTTAATTTTGACTTTATTTATTGAAATTGTACATTAATAAAACTTGAAATATAATTTTTACTTTCTCTTTGAATTAAAAAATTTAATCCAGATTTAGAGAGGAACTAAGTGTAATGTTTATGTTTATTTCAAAATGTGTTGTTTGATAAAAGTCTGTCATTGGTGTTATAATTTCTACAGCCATATTGTTGAATCATTTAAACATCGTTTTTTAATACAATCAAATAATTTACCTCCTTGGATAAAAATATTGCCATGCTCAGCTAAAGTTAAAATCAACTATGATAATAATAATAAATAACACCTACAAATGTATTTTAAATAATAATTATAAATAAAGTAAATGCGAAGAATAGGCAGGGTAAAATAACTGTCTAAAATATCATTGAAATTTTCTATATGCATAGAAGCCTGGTGACAAATTTAGGTTATTATAAACGCTATAACAATAATAATAATAATAATTAAAAAAACCAAAGATAATGATTGTCCATAATCATATTTTTCATATTAATAAGATTGCCTAGTCGAAAAGGAGGAACAAACAATTGACGGTTGTTTTACTGAGTGACCACTGACCAATGTTGGACAAACTCAGTCTCATGACGTGTAACAAACGACAATCATTATAAAACAGCACGTCTTGCTCAAAAACCGTGTGAAATTAATTGAGAATTTCATTAATAAATAGTAAAGAGTATGTAGTAGTAGTAATAGTAATAGTAATAGTGGAAACTAGTTGTGTCTCCGACTACCTGCATCGTTATCACAATATCCTGTACACTTTAACACATGGTATAAATATAAATACATATTATATAGTGCGTTTGATGTAGAAAAATAGTGTTAGTACCACAGTTTCAATGTACAAGTAGTGGGTGCGCAATAGTTGCATTAGATCAGCTGTTGGGACATTCCTTCGGGACTTTGAAACTTATTCCATTATCGTTATCATCATCAGCGTTGTCATTGTCATCACTGTTGTTATTGTTGTTGTCCGTGAAATCGTCGTCGTTGTCGTCATCGACAGGTTGAACATCTTCTGGAATGGTCATCTTGGCGAACTCTTCCTTCAGCTGGGCAAAATGTCTCTGCAGCGTCGTGCACAAGTGATTAAATGAAACAACATGACTGATAATTATCCTAAATTAAATGAATGATGGTGACGTAAGAACTAAATATATCTTTTAAAATAACATTGCTAAAAACCATCCATAATAATATCAAATATAGAAGTAAAAAGTCATTGATAAATTTAATCAGTCCGCTCATAGTTGAACTACTAAACAATAAATTGAATGGATATTTTAAAAAATAAATACCTTGAGTAAGAGCAGACTATGTGAAATATTTCTTCCAACTCTCTTGTCCTTGCTGTACATTTCTGTTTCCTGGACCCAACTCTCAATTTGACTCACTATCTCATCCTTCTTCAGCCAGAAGTGCCACTGTATAATCTGGATTATTACATTACATACGAGTTAAAATATGTTATTAGTGAATAAAATGATTATGAATTCAATGAACTTCCCGACAAAACAAAATAAACGACCTGCTTGAATGCAAGAGGGGGGTTTTTAATCATTTCCAGCATGGCCCACTTCACAGTTGCCTGCCTGATGTTGGCATCATATTCTCTAGAACTGGCTGTTCCAGATGGTGTTCCCCGAGACCTTTCATATCCAGGTTCGTTGAAGTATGGCTCGTGAACGAGGATTAGAGATTGTATGGAGACGAGGACTTGTAGGAAGCTGGATGTCTGTGAGTGCCATCTTTCTTCTGGTCGACCGTGCCAAGTGTTAATGATGCTCAAGCATACCTAGGTGATATTTAGGTCAAAAATTATCTTAATAGTTTTTAACAATCAAATTCAATTACATTTCCTCTTCTACATTATTTAGCGTCGAAGATAATAGCAATAAAAAAAATCATAAACGAATTGTCATAAAACAAAATCCTAATCATACGAACCTTCCCATCATTATAAAGATTTGGGTTGAACCTGATGGAGTTGCCACCAGTGGTTTCCAGGTTGATGAGAGGTGGAGAGTTTGGATAATCGACGGGGAAGAAGACATCAAACTCGAAACAACCATTCGAATATGGAGTGTCCGTCGGTCCGGTCATAAGAACCTGCAAGTTTGAATTAACAGCATCATAACAACATCACTATCCTCAAAGTTCGGTCTTTGGAGTCCTGGTAAACTATTCCAATTCCATTTCAAAACATTTCATTACCTCATCATTCAACACAGTTACATAACAGATCAAGTCCATAATATAAATGAGCATCATTACAAATTACGACCATGCATGGGTGAACAACTACTAACCTTCATAACGTCAAGTCTCTCTTCGTCACATCTGACAAAGACACTACTGCCCACCGACAACGGAAGTGATGTGGACAGCGTAACAGTCTCCTGGGCCAGCCTTCGAGCTCTTACAGGGTTGTTCACATCACCGGCAGCCTTAACATTCGATTCGTAGTGATGGGGCAGAGTGAAAATTGGAAGGTTGTTGCTCTCTGACACCATCTTATATGTATCTGTGTGGAAGAAAGTTTATAAAGTTATGAATGCAGAATGATATAGTTGTTTATGGGATGTAATGCAATGACTAAATTAGAGATAACAAAATTGTAACTTTTTATTTTTAAAATGATTGTATTCAATTAACTTATTGTAAGTTAACGAGTTTGAAAAGTCGCAAGATGCAACAATTAATATATTCCTGACCATATTGAAGTAATTTCATAACGGAGATGTACTTCTCTTCCTGTGATTGACTCATCCTGCCCATCACTGATGACGTCATTGCCATCATGGTAGATGACGAAGAGGCTGACATCATGTCTTTCTTCTTCTGACTTGTCAAAGAAATGCCTGTATGCATCGTTTGTTTATCAGGCAGTTGATGGAGTAAGAAAAGAAATAGGCATGAAGGCATAATTTTTTGAAATAGGAGTTGAAAGGAATAAATTATAAATAGCGAAAAAATTTTTTTTTAAATAATTTTAATTTAAAAAAAAAGTAAAAATGGTTACTGACCTGAAGCATTCAAATAATCAGCAATCGCTCTGTTGACGATGACACTTGTTTCCTGGATTTCAGGAATGAGAAGTGCCAATCCTTCTGATTCCTCATCTTCAGCAGCCATTGCAGCAGTAGACGATGCCACTGAAGTATTTGCTGACGAGGCTGTTGTCATCTGCGCCGCTTTCTGCTGTCCTTTGTTGCCCCTTCAAATTTCAACAAATTCCAACGTTATCAATTGATCATGAGGTTATTCCAGCAAAATTTGTATGTGCAAGAAAAAAAATGAACGAAATTGTTCCATAATTGTTATCAACTTCATTAAATCAACTCACAACTACAAACTGAAAAAAAGGACACATAAGCAAGAAATTACAACGAATCAACTCACTTGAGTCTCAGAGCATATGTGTCCACACACTTCCGCATCTTATCCAAAAGAGAAGATATCGAAGATGAGGATGATGATGCCAACTCATCATTACCATTGTTGTCTGGTAGAGGCAGGAGGAGTGAAATGAGTGATTGACAAGTAGCTATGGATTGAAGGACTTGCAACAAGGCACGGTACAGTGGAACATGACAGGCCATGTCTAATACTGTAACGTTAATTTATTCTTTTAATATATATCATGTGTGTGCGTATTTGTCTGTCTGTCTGTCTGTCTCTCTCTCTCTCTGAGTTAAATAAAAAATAAAAATAAGAAGATAGGTAACCAAAGAATTTGCAATGAATATTAACAATTATAAAATGAGCTACAACAAGCAAGCACACACTCTTCAATTGTTACCATTATCGCCATTATCAACATGCGCAATGCAATCATCATTATTTTTATCAACATCTCCATCAATAACAACTCATAACTCCCTCAATCATCATCATTCTCAGCGATAACTAAAACCTCATCATCAAATCATCATCACAATCACCTGAGTCGTTCCTCAGGTAAGATGAGAGGGCAGGCACGAGACATGACTGACTGAGCAGTGCAGGCAAACCAGCAGGCAAGTAGTTGCTGTTCTCACTGCTACTCTCGCCGGCAACAACCGACCTCTGCAGGTCAGCACCTGAACTTTGATTTGAAAATGATGACTTGGTTTTGCTGGAAGACGTAAGTAGATCGGGTCGGCTGGAAAGACGAGACTCGAAGTTGTTGAGGCTGCTGGAAGATGAAACTGATGATGTTCTCGGACTGATAAAACTGGCCAGTACCTGATTGATAAGGTGGTGTCTTAATAATAATTTGCAAGACCATGCAATAACGAAAATAAAGAAAATGAAAATAATAATGCTGGATGTGGTCACTATAAATTGATTACTATAATCGTTCTACCAACCAACAACAAGCTAGTCACGTGTTCCTCTTCACATTTCTGCTTGGCTAGTAGTTGCTCAGCGTCCCAGTTTGAAGCAGTTGACCCCGTACCGAACCCTGTACCTTTGGCCCAATAATTTGGCGTTTTTTCATCAGCGCCACTCTTCTTTATGATCCCTGACACCAGCCCCATCACTGAAGAGTTGATGGAAGAAACGCCCGCTGCACTGAAATCTGATTTGTTTGCGCTCGCTGCTGCAAATGTTGAAGTTGTGGCTGTCGGTACGAACGTCGTAGTAGATGGAGCAGCGGTTGATGACGACGATGGTTGCTGCTGTATTTGAGATAGGGACGCCACTTTTAAGATCTGCAAAAGTATGAAAGTGCAAGACATATACTCACACAAGAGAAATAACATATCACACATGATAAGTATTGAGAACCGACAATAAAGCGGAAAGAAGAAAATATCAATAATTAAAAGGAAACGAGCAGTGACCTCCTGATAGATTCCAGGGATGAACTGCCTGGGAGCATGGTGTCCCAGAATGGAGAGGCATGCCAGAATGAGGTGGACCACTCCAATCTCCATGCACATCCTCCTCAATAACACACCCTCATCTGTTGAGAGTGGTGTCACATCAAAGAGACATACGAGCACCTGGAATGGGAAGGAGGAGAGAAGGTTCCCTGCCATCCCACCTACCGTTGTTGCTGAACTTGATTGCCCTTTTAATTTAAATCAGCAGAAAATATTTTATGTTCGCAAAAAGTATGTCATGTTCGTGCAAAAACAAACAAGTACAGCATAATGATGAGCTATGACTGAATAAATGATGATGAACTTATGTATGATTAAAGAAACAAAAGAAGAACAACCAAATGCACCATGGTGGAAGACGACTGAATGATCAAAAAGCAACCAACCCCCAAATGTGAGACTTGAAACCTCATCGGCCACGCCTAGAATCATTCTCAACAGACACTGTGCCTTCTTCTTCTCCTTCAGCAAGATCTCTGAGTAACCAGGAAGTCTGAGGAAGAGAGCGAAAGCAATTAAGGAGTGTGGAGGTATGGATGAAGATGCGTTGGACATCTGTTGTTGGTAGCTGACCGCTAGTGATCCTGATGCTTGCTTGTCCATCTTAACAACAAAGTCGGTCATCTCCTACATGAAACCATGCATTTCAAATAAATAAATAAAAAAAGAATAATATAACACTTAACACTTTAAACTAATTTAAAAAAGATATATTTGAACTAATTTAAATATCATTGTAAAAATGTTATCATTTGATTGTGTGGACCACCAAATCTTAAAAGAAAGATTATCGTATGATTACGGTGTTCCTGCTGAATAATTTAAAATTTTTATATGCTTGGACGAGTGCAGAGGATAATTATTAACATTTCTGCATACCTCACACTCGTCAGATGCCTCCACGAATATCCAATCTGGAGCAGCAGCTGTCATATTGTTTTTAGCAGCTGAGGTCGATGCAGTTGTCATTCCTGTTGCAGGTTGTTTTTGTTTAGTTTGCTCGCTGCTCAACAGTGGCAACCGCTCAGCCAACAGAGCAAGCCCACCAATGCTGGAAAAGACGTGAAGAAGAGATGGGAATTGGATCGAGTGCAAGAAAGAAAAATTGTTAGAAGCAGTAGCTGTAGTAGTTGAATTGATTTTGCTATCAACTGACATCGTTGTGGTATTGGACATGGCAGATTTAGTAGCAGCAGTAGTGGCCGGGGCAGAAGTAGTAGCAGAAGTGGATGTAATACGTCGTTGCATTTCACTCCATTCAACCAAATTGAGTGTTAATGGTGATGATGATATTGATGTAGAAGACGAAGAAGATGATGATGATTCTTCATTGGCCATGTGTATCAGTGATAGCAGTTCAGATAATTTCATCTCACCAGGAAGAGGTCGATCTGATTAAAAGACAATAAATAAATAAATATAAACATGTGTAAACAAAAAGATATGCGCGTGGACGCTGTTTCAAAATGAAATAACCAAGTGATTGCAACTAAGGAATCTGCTTAACTGGCGGCTTGAGTAACTGTTAACATGTAACAATTTGTATATCAACAGACAGGAAAATTTCTGAGAGCACTCAATATCTTGCTCAATCTTAAACGCATATCTGAGTAATACATTGGGCTTTTTTCAAAATGTTGCATGATAAAGAAAAGCTTGTTGCTTGATTTAAATAAATGAATCAAAATGTGATTAATTATACGCATGTTTATATAATTTAGAACATTTATTATCAACAACTACTTGGTAAGCTTGAGTGGTAAACCGTCAGTAATTGTTGTTGTTGCTGTTGTTGTTGTGTTGTCACCAGTAGTGGACATTGTGGCAACTGCTGTTGCGAGTGTTGTTGTGTGTGACCTGGAGACGACATGAGCTGTACAAGTTGCTCATTAGTTAGGACTTTGTAAGCTGAATTGAAAATAATATTGAAATGAACTGTACTATAAATCAGGATGAAATTCACTATTAAAATGAGATTGATGTTTATTAAATTTATTTAGAAAACAGATGAAATTTTTGATTTAAAGAAAAAAAGACTAACAAGACAAATATTCGATAACGTCAGCAACAGTTCCATACAGACCAACAATCACAGTGCCCCGTTGATAACCCACCCCACACTTCGGGAAAAACCCAGAAAAAAGTGAAGATGTCTTGTTCATGACCAAATGGCTACTACAACGTACGTTTACTGAGATTTCCTCATCATCGAGCAGCACCTGAAGTACCAAACTTCTTAAAAAACCTTGGAAGTTATAAAAATGGAGGTGACATTTACTAATAAATGTCATATCATCGATGACTATGGTGACGGTGATAGATAGCAAAAAATGTTATAATCACAAAAATTAAGAAAATATCATAGAATCTGTAGAATATTAATTAAATTAGTAGGCATAGTCAAAAAAATAGTCTAACAAGACATGGGTAGGATAGTGAATCGGATGGTATCGATCAGTGTCAAACAGAAGTGAAGTTGATTGCGTTCGTGACATGAGGTCACTTTCATGAAAAACTTCACTGAAGCCGCTTCCAAAGCCACTTGTTGAGATGATGACAACATCGTCTGTGTGAAAGACAACAATTTGGAATTCAAAGTATTAAGCCAACTTTATAATAAAACAATAACAACGCTTACTGTAACTCGTTTATCTGCAGTCATCCAAGTCCTATTAGTGCATAGAACTTTCAACAGTGAACTCCAAAAACTACTATTCTTTGGAGTTCCCAACCAATCTTTGACTTTAGATTCTTGGCAAAGGTCAGCAAAGAAATATATCATTGGTGCTATAATGTCGCTTGCTAAATAACATTTGTCACTTTCGTGCTGTTGTAGCTGCTGCTGTTGTTGATGAAGATGTTGTGGCGGAAACTTTTGTCTCTGTCTCAATATTATTTCATCGTTGAAAAAATTTTGCAGCTGTTGGCAGCAAGTTGAAAAGAGGTCTCTATCTTCTAAATAGACTAAGCAATCGTTAGACCCACAGATGATGGACAGTGTCATGAGGTCCCACTTTGTGAGATGCAGATAGTAGAGAGGGTAGAAAGATGCTGAAGCAAACGGAGGAAGGTTAACTGTTGCTGTGTTCGATTGTTGCTGCCCATCATTACCAGTCTTATCAACATCTGCAGTTGAATACTTTTCGCTATCTTCATAACCACTTTCAGCCTTACCGAAATAATTGTCATCATTTTTCGTTTTCTCTTTACAACTCTTATCATCAGCATTAGTGTACTCAACATCAAAGTTTTCTTCAAATTCGATGTCATGAATGGAATGAAGATTAGAGTGAAATATATCCATCCAATCAACAGCCAGCTTAAATAAGTCAGGCCGTATGTAGAATGAGGAGCACAAGACATAGTCTAGAGCTGTTTTCAACGACGATTTTCTAGGAAGGATGCACGACCAATTGAATATGAACCTGGGTGAAACAAACAGGTTTGAAATTTGAGACTATTCAATCAATTGAACTGATTCAGCCGCTTAAAAGAGCAATTAAATTAACAAAATGTATGGCACCGAAACTTATATATGATGAATTGAATGACCTAGATAGAAGATAAATGGCATGAAACAATCCGTGGAACAAACCTTATGAAATCTTCTGTGACAACCTCATTAAGTGCATCAACACTTGCTAACCCTTCCTCCCTCAACCTCCACAGAATACAAGCAAGACAGTATACATGGGCCTCTGGAGGGCCACGAATATCAAACGATGGCGATAATGAAGATGACGACGTTTTTGCTAACTTCACATACAATTTAGTTGCTTGTTTAACATTTTCAATGCGTTGCTTTCGATTCTCAATCAAATACAAATCAAAATCTTCCGTTGATCTTTGAGCCCATAATTGCAACCATGAAAGCATTGATTTTAACCTTGATGAATTTAGAATTCATGCAATTTTTAACGATTATACATAAGAGTAGTTTTATTTAATCATGATAAATTGATAAATTATTTTTATTAAATAGCAACCTTTCCATCACCCATTGATCTTTGCAACAGCACACTTGAAACAAGATGGCTACAGAGGATGTCGAAGCCCGACCCAATGACGATGAAGTAGATGACCATGATGAGAGCTTTGAAGACGTCTGCTGGTTCAGGGAGCCCGGTGGTACTCCGCCCAACAAAGCATGAACCAAACGCAAATTTGAATCGCGGGATGTGGAACCAATTGCCATTAAGATAGTTTCAATATTGAAAATCTGATCGATAGATGTACTAGATGGTATTGTTAGCATGGTTGTGCAGAGCTCAAGAAGTCCAGGAGTTGCAGATAAAGACGTCATAATGTCCTTCATCAGTAGATCACTGTACGATGATTTCACCAAGAAGTTGTGCAGAAGTCTCAGCCATTTAACACTGATTAAAAAATGTTTTACCATTTCAAGGAACAATTCAATACAAATAGGCAGATGATAATCAACTAAACTACATCAGCAAAAAATTTCAATTATATTGATAAGAAAAGTCTTCTTATCAACTTAATCATTTATCCGTTACGCATCTTGAATTACACAAAACTTTTGCAAAATTTTAAATCCTAATATAACTTTGGATCACAAACGAAAAATCGTGTATTCAGATTAAACCTGATGCATTAGATAAAAAATGTATTATTTTTTTCAACGTTCAACTGACTTATGATAGATAGGCCAACCAACCTTGTTTCTGTGGCAGATTCCTCTAAAGATATTCCAGACTTTGAAAACCCTTGCAAATCAACTCCAAATGCCATTGTACCGAGAAGCATTATCTGAGAAAGACCAAGAGTATTTGAATCTTTGGGCTTGAGAAACCGTATGGTTACCGAACTTGAAACTTCTGCACGTGGAAGACGAACCTGTGAGAAGTTCAAAGTTAAGACTGAAAGTTTCTTTTCAAATGAAACATTAATATTAAACTGAATGTAATGCCACTTTCAATAAAAACAGTTGGCAGACTTACAGCAATGCTAGTCATTCCAGATGTATTAAGGGTAGGACAGAGAGGAACAGACATGCTGGAACCAGTGTAACTTGATTCTATGACAACTGCCTCTGGACAGGCTGATTTGTGATAATTACCATTATGGTGATGAGTAAAAAATGAAGAAAATAGTGACGGCAGTTACAGAAGACATATCAGTGACACAAATATCACTGCAAATGATCGAGCCAAGAAGACAATCTACTCAGCAAAGATAGAAATGGATCTGCATCAGCTCACAAACAAAACATCTAGAGTAACAACGAATGCTAACTATCAAGTGAGCTGAAGTGTGGTATTATGACAACTTCCTCCAACATGATGACACAGGGAAGTGATATGGTCAGATCAACCCACAATTCTTCTGGGTAGAAGTGGTATGTCCAGGCGGCTGATCTAGCTCTCCTAGGAGGTGAGTATTCCTGGATGAGGATGTGTGCAGGACTGGCTAACGGGCTCGATGAAGATATGGTACCTGTTTTATTATTGATGTTTCAGTCGTCAATCGTAGAAAAAAGAGAGCGTGTTAATAACATAATTGAATCTGTGATAACTTTAATTTTAATACATTTA